ATTCTCTTTCACCTTCTGGCACTAATAATAGCAGATCATGTATCTGATGATAACATCTGATCATCAGGATCGGATTTTATTCAAAGGGTTTCTATGACTGACCCCTCAGAAGCGGCCCACCTATTCCTTCTTCACAGCCCACTTCTAGTCAACATGCCACTGAACTGCAAATACCACTGTTTATCAGCGGGGACCCTCCTGGCACTTGATATATGAGTAGCACGGCTTTCAGTATCACAACAACACACAAGCCACCTCAGGATGACAAGCTGATAGATTAGTCATGGTTCCTTCTATATCCTTCAGTATTTATGTACAGTTGATTCTTTCAAAATCATAAGGGAAAATAAAAGCCTTACCATTGCATTCTTTGTCTCACCAATCATATTTATTCTTCAAATATAGCTAAAATTAAATCCCTTCTCTGAAGCCTTTGCTAAATTCTGCCTACCTCCAATCCAATAAATAGCACATAAATATGCCATTCGTGTGGTAAACATCTGGTGTATTGCAGTGTTACAAAAGCTTACGGACATTAAAGAAATGCAAAACGGTGTCCCAGGAACTCTCCAACTAGTTCAAGAGAAAAACAGACCCATTAAATTATAAAGTAGATATAGAAGATCGATGATCTAATGACAAAAGGAGCAATTCAAGCCAAAAATATAGATAAATAATATAGGTGGTTTAAAATGGCATCTCTCTAATCCCTTTTACCACCATTACCTATCAACCTTCATTTTGTTCCACAGATTGAGACAACTGTCTGTAACTTGATACTTACTCTGCCTGGCTTCTCTCTTGCATTCTTTTATATACAAGATCCATATTATTTTGTTATTGTGAGCGTATACATAGTAGAACATAGACCGATTCAACAATTTCCACATGTACAATGCGGTGGCATGAATTACAGTCTTTGAGTCATTCCATCGTGCTCACCCTCCTTTTTCCAGAGTCGGCCCTCTCTCATTAGCACAAACTCACTGCTCCTGACGTTTCTTACCTAATCTTTCAGGTATTATTGTTAATCAGAGCCCAAATAGGTAGCACTGTAAAGTGTTCAATATTCAAGGAAGACGTTCTTGAATATTTCTTTTTATTCTCCAAAACACACATCAAGGGTCATCTCCAATATTAAGCCTGTCCTGGCCTTCTGCACAGCCCTGCCTGCATGCCCATGCATAATCCTAATTATTGCATTACATTTTCCACACTAACAATTCATCGCTAACCTTTGTCCCCTGGTAGACAGTGTGTCCCACATCCCTAGAAATGCATCTGACATGTAGAAAAAGGAGAATGTGTAAACCAAACCAAAACCCAACTCGCTGCTATGGAGCAGTTCTGACTCATAGAACTGCCCCTGTGAGTTTCTGAGACAGTAACTCTGTATAAGCTTGGAAAGCCTCTCCTTTCTTCTATGGAGAGTCTGGTGATTTTGAACTGCTGACCTTGTCGTTTGTAGTCCAATGCATAAACCACTTCACCACCAAGGCTCCTTGTAAACCAAAAGTCAGAATAATTAGAGAACAGCTCATAATCTCAGACAACTTTCCATGAACAGCACTGTGCTTTTTAAAAACAAGCAAAAGAACTGAAGTCAGCCTTCCATGAGACATTCTGGCATGAAACAAGAGTTATCATAGATTTTTTTTGCTCAGAAATTGATGGGCATTCATCACGCTCTGTAAATTCATCATTAAAAAGGGATGCCAAACCTCAAAAAGTCCCGGTGACTCCTAAGCCTCACTTAGCTGTTTTTCTCTGTCTGTGCAAGAAACCTCAACCTACCATGTGTTCTACGTAAGTTGAAATATCTTTTCCCATTTCAAATAAATAAAGCATCTATTCAGCATTTCTAGAAGGGAGTTGTACAGTATTTGTTGAAATCTGAAGTGCACGTATACTTTAATACAGCACTTCTAGGAATAATAACAGAAATCCTTCCAAGTATATAAAAAAATGGTATAAAAACATTGTGAGATTTTGGTTTTCAGAATCCTGTGGATGACGTTGGAAGTCCAAGATACATTTGTGAGATCTACACTGGAAATAATTCTCCGGTGACTTCCCTCTTTCCATAATGGAGGGATGGGAATAAGCTGGTTCCCAAACAAAGTGCATTGGAGAGATGACTGCCAAAGGTAAAAGGGATTAACCTGCCTTGAATGGATAAAACCATGTCAGTTGATCCCCCTCTGACACACCTTGGGCTTGATCTGGTTTTCAGTATTTTCTGTTTTTTTCTCTCTCATGTTGGGGTTTATCACTGGTGTATTTTGTCCTTGGGGGTAGTCCTCTTGAATTTTTGTTATATGTTTTTCTGCGTTTTGGAATTTTAAACCCAGGACTGACGAGCTCATAGAGACAGCAAGAAGAATAAGGCTTCCTGAGGAGTCCAGTGAGGGGAGGTGGGTAAAGGGGGGCTGATTTCAAAGAGTTCAAGAGGGAAGAGAATGAAACTGATTTTGAAACTGATTTCAGTAACGGTCGTACAATACTGCTTGATGTGACTGAACTGTGGAATATGATATCTGTAGTAGCTGCCAATGAAATGGTTTTGAAAAAAAATTATCTTACCACTTTTTTTATAGACTATTTTTAGAACCGTTTTAGGTTTACTGGAAAAATTGTACAGAAAATTCAACTTTTGCATATGTGCTCTCTGCTCTCAGCGCCCCGTTTCTTGTATTATTATTGTCACTGTTGGGTGTCCTCAAGTCGATTCTTAGTCACAGCCACCCTACAGACTACAGACAAAAAAGCAGTGTGTGGTCCTGTGGCATCCCCACAACCCTTCCCATATTTGAGCCCATTGTTGCCACCACTGTGTCAAGCCACCGTCTTCCTTTTTATCAAATACCCACTACTTGACCTTGCCTAACGTGCTTTCCCAGACAGCGGTCTTTCCTGATAATGTGCCAAAGTGCAAGAGATGAGTCTGGTGCTCCTCAAGCCCAAGGCACATTCTGGTTGTACCTCTTCCAAGAGAGATCCATTCGCTCCTCTGGCAGTCCATTGCATATTCAATATTCCTTACCAACGCCATAATTCTAATGGATTCGTTCTTCAGTCTTCCTTCTTCATTGCTCAGTTTTACTGGTATATGAAAATGTGAAATTGCCAGGGCTTGGATCAGGCTCACTTTAATCCTCAAAATGGTTTCTTCACGTGTTAACACTTGGAAGTGATCTGGTGCAGCAGATGGGTGCCGAGCAGTGTGCGGACCGCAGCTTCTGTGCCTAGTGGTTATGAAGCCCAGGAAAAGGAAGGCCTGTGCAACTTCAGTCTCTTCTGCAGTTAGCATGCTACTGCCTCTTCGTCCACTTAGGAGGACTCGTTTTCTTCACGAGGAGGAGCAACCTGTTCTAAAGGCTCCCCCTTCGATCTCCATCAGCAAGTGTTTCAAGTCTTCACAGCAAGTGAGGCTTTATCATCTTTCATTGCATATTAATATATTACAATCATACTACGGGTTGCTCCTCCACTCCTGGTGCTATATTTTTCTTCATCTGGTTCAGTTTCTTGAATTATTTGCCGAGTGTACAGATTAAATAGGATGGTGGAAAGATACAGCCCCGATGCACACATTTGCTCATTTGAGTCACGTAGTATTCCTTTAGGACCCCGGGTCATGGCATGAGTGCGCTGGGCTGCTACCCATAAGGTGAGCAGTCTGAACGCTTCAGCTGCTCCCCAGGAGAAGCACAAAGCTTTCTTTGCCTACAGACAGCTCCAGTCTCGGAGACTCACAGGGCAGTTCTGCGCTGTGCTGCAAGGCCACTGTCAGGCGGCATCGACTGGATGGCAGGGCGAGCCTTCCCTTGATCTGCTGGATGGACTCCCTCTTGATAGATGCACGGGTTCCACGTAAGTACAGTTAAATCTGAAATCCCCATTCTTCCCAACATTATCCATAATTTGCTATGATCCACAGAGTGTAATGCCTTTGAAAAGCCAACGAAATATGGGTAAGCATTTTACTATTATGAAAGTCTCATAATAATTTGATTATTGGATTATATTCTATTTTGGTGGTACATTGGTTGCAATTATTGAAGCACTATATACACAATGGTTCGATCTTAGTGGTCTCCAGTCCTAAGGTTTTTGGCAAATGCACGATGTCGTACATCTACTGTCACAAGGTCATACAAAGTAGTAGCATGGCCTTTAAAAAAGTACTATCAGACAAACTATATTGTACTATATAATTACAAAATAAAATAGAAATAAAATATTAAACTTTCACCAAGAGAAAAATATGAAGTAGTGTATAATGCAATCATTAGGTAAATAAAGTGAATAAGCACTGACACATAGGTTATTCACTAATTGGTAAGTAATAAAAGTAAATTGCAGAACAATATACACCTTATTTTTTAACTATCACAAAACTCTGTAGTTTGGTGTTTGATTTATATGCTCATTGCTGTTGCTGCTGCTGTACGTACTGACTCAAAGATACTTCTGTAAAACAGAACAAAAAGATGCATGTTAAAACAGGCCCATCCAGGAAGTCATTTGGGAAGCAGATAGAGGTAAAGACAGATGTTAGTTCTTTATTTGGGGCACTTGTTTAGATTATCCAAGTCGTGCCTTCCTGAAATACAGGTGGTAGACATTGAGTAATATGATGTCTGCAGCTAATAGCCTACCTAATGAAACGTTGGGAAATGAAAGAAACCAAATGTTCATGCATCAGCTGCTGGCTTCTGATTGGTCTCTCTGTTGCTCGTCTCCTACAACAGAGTTTAAATTCCTTCTGCAAACTGTTGTAAATCAAAGGGCAAATACTTTGCTCCTGTAAAAACTGGAGAAATCAACCAGATTTTGAATATTGCTTCACCTGTACATTTTATTGGTATACATAAAGGTAACTCTATTGACCATATTTCAAATAAAACATTCGTTATTTTGAAGTATTATGTCTTAAGAAGTAAAAAATAGAGTAAAATACTAACACTGTGTTGTTGTTTCAGGTAGCAATTTGCAGCATGAAGACTATCATTCTACTGTTTTGTCTTCTAGGATCAACTCAGTCATTACCAGTAAGTACATCATGTTGATATTATACACCAGTCACCTTGGCAGTGTCTATGCTGAATGATCTTCTTCTCTACCCTTTTCTGTAATTCCTTTTGTTTTCTGTTTTTCTTTTCAAGGTTGAAAAAATGATAAGTAAATTTGCATTGCATATTCCAATGTATCCTCATTTTTTAAATGCACCCACTCTCTCAGGTAGAATTTGAATTGTAGAATTGAAATTTGGGAACAAAGAAATACCTCTGTGTAGCTGCTCAAAGCCCTAGAGGGCTATTATTTTATTTTACAGGAAATCTCTAAGATTTTTTTTTCTTGGTCACTTATTTGTGACTAAAAAGGTAAACTACATTTTCTGAATTTTCTAATTATAAGCACAAAGGATCTAGATTTTATAAACTCTAATAGTGGCACCAAGTAATAGAATACCAAAAGAATATTAAGGAGCCCTGGAGATGAAGCGGGGTAAGCATTTGACTGCTAATGAAAGGTTGGCAGTTTGAACCTACGAGCCTCTCCATAGAATAAAGATGTGCAGTTCTCCTCCCATAAAGATCACTGTCTATAGAAAGCCTTGGGAGGCAGTTCCACTCTGTCTTCAGGGACCGTGGCATCAACTGAATAGCAATGTAAAGGGCATAAGAAAATATTACAAAATGGTGGAAATTTTTCAGTTAAAACATTTCATCATGAAATATGTTCCCTTATAACAGGCCTTTGACAAAGGAATGCTAGTGCTTAGACATGCACTCCCATTGCCTTCCATTGTCTTAGAGACAGAGTGCTGGACTTTGGGTCTCTACGTGGGCTGCTCCTTGACTAGTTGAGATGCTTAGGTGTGGACAATTGAGGAGATAAATTAGAAAATATTTTCTATGAAGTGGAAGAGCAAAATTACATCATCCTTTGTTGAGGTTCATACTTATTGACACATCTATCATCACTTATACAATTTCTATATGTCAGATACTATGTTAACTGCTGAATATTCATTCATACAACAGTAAGCAAATAAAAAATAAACCATGATTCCTCATGATGCCTAAGAGTACAGATGTGAACTGATTGGTTCAACGCAGAGATGACCAGGAAGCGCTGACAGGGCGAGGGTGGTTGTTAGGTACTGAGTTGGCCCCACCTCACAGTGACCCTTTGTGCAGCAGAATGATACTGCCAGCCCTGCACCATCCTCACAACCATTGTTACAGGAGATCCCACCGTTGCAGCCACTGTGTCCATCCATCTCTTTTTTTATCATTTTATTAGGGGCTCATACAACTCTTATCACAATCCATACACACATCAATTGTGTAAAGCGCATTTGTACATCATTCTCAAAACATTTCCTCTCCACTTAAGCCCCCGGCATTAGGTCCTCATTTTTCCCCTCCCTCCCCGCTCCCCCCTCCCTCATGAACCCTTGATAGTCTATAAATTGTTATTTTGTCATATCTTGCCCTGTCCGACGTCTCCCCTTACCCACTTTTCGGTTGTCCGTCCCCCAGGGAGGAGGTCACATGTAGATTCTTGTAATCGGTTCCCTCCTTCCATCCATCTTGTCAAGGGTCTTCCTCCTTTTCACTGTCCCTCTTCGTTACCTCCCCCGATGTCCTTTTCCAGGCACTGAGCTCTCCTGATAACATGTTCAGAGTACGGAAATATGAAGCCTTGACTCCCATGTTCCTCAGGAATATTCTGGCTGTAATGCTACAGGGAGCGTATGTAGCAAGACAGAAGTAACCAACCTCTCTTTTATTCCACTTCAAATATGCATTTGTCCACCTTGAAAAAGTTGTTTCCAAAAATGGTAGCCCTCTAACAAGAAACTGTAAAACTAGCCCTCTAAACAAGAAACTGTAAAACTAATTAATTTTACAGAAATTAATTTTTCTGCAAAACAAAAACTTTCACTTTACCAAATAAATTTACCAGAAAGTCCTTTGAAATTGGTCACTCTAGTGTTTTTTAATTAGTATTAAGTTTAATAATTTAATAAATTTAATAATTAGTATTAAATTTGTGAAAATTTAAGATACGCTTTAGAGAAGCATAGTTATTTTCAGATGTACTAAAGAATAAGGTGCATGATAATACAGATTGCTCATAGCCAATCACGCAAGAGCTGCAAGTTTGGTAGGAAGGTAAGGATAGGTGATATGAAACTAAAATGTTGATTAGCTATAAGACCAATATTTATCAAATGAAAAATTATATTAGATGGGCAATTTTTATCATCTGATAATGAATTTATTGAATTATCATAAACACATACAATTTTTCTATTTGAAAATGTAAACATTATGTCAGCCTAAAAGTAGTTCACAGATTAGAATTCAGAGACAATTTCCAGAAGGAGAATACTATGAGTAGAAACTATGGAAGATGCCGAAAAGCCATAGGAATTGAGACCCGTAAGAAAACTAGGGTTTTGTTCTTTCAACAAATATTTTTTAAGTGCTTACTATATGAGATTTCTTCCCTGGTTAAGTTTATGTTTTAGCCAGGAAGACAAGTGAAAAGTATACTCATAAAGTAGTAAATTATATAATACATTAGAGAGTGATGAGAATTATTGAAAAGGAAAAAAAAGGAACAGAGTAGAATATGGTGGCCCAGACTTACAAAGGGTTGATACTGGTAACTGTGCAGGCAGAATATTCAGGACTGTAGTCACGGTCAGCCTCAACAAAAAAAAGTAAGCAAAGGTTAGCAAAAACTTGAATCAGGAGAAGAAATGATCCACACAGATCTCTAGGAAAAGAGTTTTCAAGCAGAGGGAATTGGTGAAAGGAAGGGCCGGGGCAGGCGTGGACTTGACCTCTCCCAGGGCTCAATTGTTGCAGCAGAGGAAGAGGGAATGAGGTGAGTTGGAAGGTCAGAGCGACACTGAGACCCTGCTCCTAAAGGCCATTACAAGTGAAATCGCAAGTCAATACACGGATTGGGAATAGAAATGGCAAGATTCCATTCTCAATCAATTCTGGGGGATGAAAAAGATGTATTGAGAGTTTCAATAGAAACTCTTTAAATTTTTAAAGGGCCATCAAGCAGTGGTAAAGTCAGCGAATCCTTTCACAGCTAAGGGGGAAACATCCAGTCAAACTTGGCAGCTCCAAAGTAAATCCAAGATGAGCCAAGTCCTAGTCCAATGTTTGAAGCCAATCACAGCCTGCCAAGAACAGTCATGATGAAAGGAAGACTTGGGTCAAACTGACCAACATGTTTCTGTGCCTGATTGTAGTGTGTGCTGAGAGAACAAAAAAAATGGAGAACTCTTTCCTAAAAGTCCAAGAACCCTTGCAGGGATGCTAAAACCGACTCTGCTTCTACGCGTGTTACTTTGAGCCAGTAACTTGGCTTCTCTGGGCCTCCATTTCAATACTAGGAAGAGTCAATCTTCTGCTGAGAATTACTTTGTATTTATGCAATTGGTGATTTTAATCAGTTTACCAATCACTAGATTTGTTTCCTAGCCTTTACTTTAAAAATGTAAAGTTTCATGTAATTTACTATGTACATTAGCCTCATCACTGGCTATTCAAAATCTAAGTTTCATACTTTTCTTTTTGCTTTACCTTTCTCCATTTGTAAACTCCTATTATATCATATAATTCATTTAGCTTAGGAATTAGATCACAATACCTTTGGGGGTGGGGGGACAAGGGCTTGTTTACCCCAAACAGTGCTGTGATCTTTAGCATAGAAGGGTCATATCCCAGCCAAAAGGCGCACTGGACTGCCGTGACAGAAACGGACAGGGAAAGCATTAGGCAAAAGAAGGAAGCTTCATGAAAATACTGTCGTGATGGCGATTGACCTTCACGCATTTGATACAAGAAAATATGCACAAAGCTAATGAGCTATCTATGTCATGCCCTCACCAAGGAGGGTGGCAATTACAGGGGGGCAAGGGGAGGGATGTAAATGCCATCAGAAATGCTATGTGCTTGGCCCTACCCTATCCCTTTGTACTACCTGCACCTCCCTGCCCCACTTCCTCTGTCATCTTTACACTACACAGTCCATCTCCTGCCATGCACAAAATATTCCGTTCCGAACAGGGAGATAAAACTGCTCCAAAACAAAGCCCACATGGAAGAAGCACACCAGCCTATGCAACCACGAGGTG